CGATATCCTAGACAATCACTGTGAATTTTTCAAACTTGAGCCAGGAAAACCTGTATTTATAAAACACTCTTTACTGAAGTTTGAATGTTTGTGGAACATTTGTAAATCCCATTATGGACTTTACTGTATTAGTGATTCTTAAAGCCTTAACTTTGTTTAGGAATGAATCACTCATTATTATCGCTATGACTATGAACTATGACTTGACAATCAATCCTACATGTGGAATAACATTTTTCAAAACCCTTATGTACTAGTTAACCAGAGTTCAAACTTTTTCCTTCCTAAGTCTTTTGTCTGAAAAGGGATTTTCTAACTGAAGCTAATTCATTAGAATAACTTACAAGGGTAACATTGATCAAAATGAATTGTATTTATAAACTACTTTGTTACATGGCAACTCATTTGTACAATTACTTAAAGATAATAATAAAAGATAGCTAACAATTTTATGTTATTTCAAAAAAGAGAGCAGTAACATTTCCTTTATAATTATATTGATGAAAAAAAGCTGTTGAGTATAATCTATTAGAAAAGTTTAAGACAAGTTAGTGAAGCTAATAGTTACTGAGCGGCTATCTAGTAAATATTTTATCAAATCATTTCTAAAGAGCCATTTGTAACGAAACAATATAATTTGTTTCATTAGATGAATTTATTTTCCTTTTATTTTTTAAACTCAACACCACAATTTATTGTGTAGATAATACATATAATCATCAACTTATGCTATTATGTCATTTACAGACAGTTTCGTTTCTAAATTTCTAGCTATATTAGTTCAAAAAGTATTACTTGGATATTTATTAGCAAGACATGAATGGTTAGTGCTAAGCACTCAAAAATAGATTCCTCATATCTTCAGTAATCTTACAGTCTGTCATGGGTAGTAAGATATTTGTGTGTAACTAAACACAAGGTTAAAAAAATTGTTTTTTAAAAAAAGTTAAAGGTTAAAAAAGTTGTTTTTACCTTTTCTCCAAGGCTGTGTTCTCCCCAGCTCTTAACACACAGCTTTGCACTTAGAACAAGCACATCCAATTGTGGTTAACTTTAGAAATAGATGTAAATTTATTTTGTGAATTTATTTCTATTTAATGGATTGACATTCTTATTATCCAAATCAACTGAAAATCTTCAATCTGAAATTATTTATAATTAAAATAATATATTTTGCTGCATAGAATGTGATACTTTAATTTTCATGAGTGCTTTGTAGCATTGTACTCCATTTTCTGATTTTTATTTCAAGACTTGTTTTACTTAGTCCTTTCATGAAATCCTAATGTCCAGCCTCATAATTTGTGTGGTCTTACCTCCTTAACAGACAAATTACTAGAAAAGGATATAAAATCTATGATTATCAGAGCTTAAGAGGAAGCAATTGATATTATTCGATTTCTAAAATTCAACTGTATTGTTCAATCAGCCTGAATTATCCCTGAACTGAATCGTTATTTTAAAAAGTAGATGTAAAATAGATTTGGTTTTCTGCATCTTTCACAAGTTAATGCTTTTTTTCTCAGAATTTGGTAGAATAAAAAAATCTGAGTTGTTAAGGTAAAATGAAAGCATGAGTGGTGTAAAGTCTTATACCTCTATGATTTCATGACTGTGTAATACTCAAAAGTAGAAGATACTGCTTGTGTTATCAACTGCTAGATAGGCAGCACCTATTTCCTATTTTATTCAACGCAGTATTTCTCTCCCATTATTTAATCCAAAGAAAAAATGTTAAAGTTTCTCATGCTCCCTTATTAAAACACCTAGCTTAATTTCAAATGGAAGGGATACAATAGAATTAAAGAAAGGCAAAAAGACAGCCTTTCTTTTGCCTAAGTTTGACTCTAGCAGTTTGACTCTTACTTATGAATGCTTGCCACTGAGTCATTGCATACAGAATTATGAAACTTTAATTCCTTTAGAGGCTCGTTATATTAGAAAAATTGTTCCAAAGAAAGCAACAATCATGACATAAGCACATCTGGCTCTTGCAAATTATTCTTTATTAAGCTTTCATTTAATTACATGTGCTGAAAGGTCTGTTTTTGATTACTGTAATTTTTTTAGTTGTCCATCTGAATGATAGTAATGCTAGAAATTATATATAAACCACCTGTTTTTTCTCTCCTATAAATGTGGTAAAGTTTGAACTATTTTCTCTGTGGCTGACAAACTAGGAAGCTTTCTATTTATTATGATTGAAATTTGACTATCAATGTAATGGCTTAATCTTGATTGTGAGAAAAAGAAAATATTTGAATGAAGTTTTCAAGCATTAAATAGTCTTAAGATTGGGGTACTGACTTCTGGTTAACTACACCAAATGAACATTCATTTATTACTAGGTTTACCCCAATTCTAATACAGCAACAGTTAAGGATTGCAGGTGTAAGTTTTCAAGTAGAAATAAAAAATGACACTCAAAAGGCTTTTAGAATATGGGAGATGGGTAGATAAGTTATGAATGTCTAACCAAAAAAGAGAAATCTGATAGCTAAGCCTTTAAAGTGAAATGCCAAAAAGAATTAAACCCAATTTAGAGCTGAATCCTTGAAATGCTTAGGAGTTGAAGATACCAGGTATCATTGAAGGCAGATGTAAAAGGTGAAAATTTTAAAGAGGATAGCTGGTAGAAACAGATACTGAGATTATTCCCCTATAACCTTGCTCATCTTAACTCTATCACCTCTTCTCAACTACCACCACCATCTATATGTAACACAGCTGGAACTGGAAGTTTGTTCTTATGAGAAATTGAACATTGAAGGTTTTTTTTCTTGAGTATCAGGCATAGCCAAGAATGAATGGTGATACAAACTTGAAAACAGAGTTGGCATGAGAGAACAAACAGTAAAAGCCCACAATTGCCTTCTGCTTTGCTTGCCTAATGTGCCATACAGGCCTTCCCCAAATTAAGGGGAACATTTGAAGTTATTTCTCTAACACAATGGCCCAGTATAAAATTCCTCAACAAAAAGTCTTTCTGCATCATTACTTTATACTGAGCCTGTCAGTCAGTAAGTCCATCCTTAGACTTTCAGTTGATTATGTCAGTTGTAGATGAATAAACAGTCAACACCAGAGACTTTAGAAAAGTTTCTAATAGGAAAGAGCTCAAGGAACTTGAAAGAAAAAAAGACAACAATGCAGAGAAGAGAAAAAACAAATCCTAAACCTATCATTCATACTTTCCCACAGAATAGAGAACAGAATACTCTAAAAAGAAGCCATCAGAGAAAAAAGAATACCCTTAAACCTATAACAGCAGAAGACCTAATGATTCATAGAAATCTTGAATGATAAAATTGGAAAAAGATTTCAGAATAGAAAAACATTTGATGAGAGGCAAGTAGAGAGAAAAAGTAAGAAAATAAGAGGGTCAGTGAGGAAGTATCTAGGGAGAATAATATAGCAGGAAAGATTCATTTTTAAATTAATGTACTAACATTAAGAAATTGGAGAGCATGGAGACATAGTATGCTGAGGTAAGGAAAGCTAAACACATAAATATACAATCTGTAGATAAGGATTCAACAATATATAAGCACATACCAGTCAGATGTCAATATTAATCAAAACAGTTCAATTACAAGGGATATACCTCCATAGAGAGGTGGGGAGGACAGGTATGGGAAAACCCTAGCCATCTTCATAACTGTGGAGGTTCTACATTCTACAAGATAGCCATGCTGTTTTTGTTGTTGTTAGTGTTGTTGGTTTGTAAACCTTAAAGTAATACTGAACTTGTAAAAATTGATAAAAGTTTAAATCGTATAGAGACTAGCCAACCTGGCTTTCGGTCTTTGTTCTGAATTCAGTTAAATCAATGTATTTGGAGGTTTATTATTTTAAAATATATGATATCAGGTTTTTTGTTTAGCATATCTCATGGTTTGGGGTTTTTTTTAACTGTATTTTTTTTTGTCGTTTCTTTTTTGGTACTGGGGATCGAACCCAGGACATTGTGCTTGCTAGGCAAGCGCTTTGCCACTGAGCTACATCCCAGCTAGGCAAGCGCTCTGCCACTGAGCTACATCCCAGCCCTAGCATATCTCATGGAAGAGGAGCTTTTTTTTTCTTTCTCTTTATAGGTATACATTAATTCTAGAAAGATGTCACTGTGATATTCCATAGATGCATTATTGTACTTCAAATTCACCTCACTATTATTCTTTCTTAATCCCTCTTCAAGAGGAGCATTTTAAGTCTTAGCAGATAGAATGAATAAGATCACTGGTTTGTTGAAGAGATCTATCGGAAATATTACACAGAGCAGGACTTGAAACAGCAGTGAGAATATGGGAAGTGTACCTGGAGTCGCAAAGTCAGGGATTGAGGAGAGAAATCAAATGATCTTTCTGGATGAAGGAAGCACTTTGTTTCCTGGTTCTGGTTGAGAATTAAATGGGTAGCTCCTGTGGCAGGAAAAAAAGCCATCTGACTTTTTAGTTTTATTGAAGATTATGTTACCTGTGATCTAGAAATCTGACCCTGAGACAAAAGTAACATTTACTGGGCCTCTGGGGTTATGCAGAAGAAGGATCAGAGTCCCCAGAGCTCAGTCAGTGGTAAATAACAATTGTTTTTCTCCCAGAAATCTGTAGGGAAGTTTAGGTTCATTTTGTAGCTCACCTATAAGATAATTACATCAAATTTAAAGAACTTTTCATAGAGATTTTGGGAACTAGAAAGAACCTTAGTGACTATTCAAATTATTTTTGGCTCAATTGAAGAAACTGAGTTCATAGATAAAAATGCTGGTTCAGAAAGTAATGTTAATGCTGGAAGGAACAGAACCATGACTCCCATTCTGACATTCTTTCTCTATGCATTGTTTGGTTTTTCTTATTTTTCTCTTTAAAGAATAGTGAAATTGCAAGGCTGTAAAAGAAATAGTTCTCTAACAATACGGTAAGGTTTTCTTTAAAAAAAAAAAAAAACACACTCCATTTCAGCTGCATTTAAAGAGATCAATGTTTGTCTTCTCTGTTTTGCAGCAACTCTACGCAGCTCAGCTGGCCAGCATGCAGGTGTCACCTGGAGCAAAGATGCCATCAACTCCACAGCCACCAAACACAGCAGGGGCAGTCTCACCTACTGGGATAAAAAATGAAAAGAGAGGGACCAGCCCTGTAACTCAAGTTAAGGTAACTTGCTTTGCAGGATTGTGGAATCAGTTTGGAAAATAGCTTCACAAGGAAGGTAGTGAACCAGGCTATGTTGGGAATAAGCAGCAGAAAGCATAGCAACATAAAGGAACCCCAAAATGCTCCTCTTTATGATAAATCTCATGATTGAGCTTTGAGAAACAGGTGTTTTCCTTTTGATAACAATAGTGCTATATTGTGAGATCTTTCCCTAACTGCAAAGTCACTTCTCAAAAAAAAAAGTCTTGATTGGATTCTGGTTTTTAATTTTTGAATGTTCATTGGCACAAATGGCCATGGTTTTATTGCCAGTCTTTGTCACAGACTTCCAACACTTCTCTCCGCGTTCCTTGAATAGGTGGGGGAGCAACTTGTAGTACCATCGGAGAAATTTGAGATTTAAAAAAAGTGATAGATGTACAGTATGTTCACAAATAAAATAAAATAAAATTTAAAAAAAAAGACTAGATGGTAAAAATATAATAAAAATAAAATGATGGTTAACTAAAAAAAAAAAAAGTGATAGAAAAGAATCGAATACTGGACATCACATAGTTTGTTGAAAGTCTCTCCTTCTAATTACGAACTAATGCTTTAAGGAATGAATAGTGTCATTACCTAGTCATATTCCTGATACCATATAATTGTATTAGGAAAAATAGGGCTTCTCAAGTTATATCTGAAACATTAGTAGATGCCTTTCCTCACTGATTTTCCTCCCAGGGAAATTGGATGAGCTGCTAGAACTTTGTACTACCACTAGCACCTAAAGATGCTACTAGTTGTTTGGGGCTTTTGTTTTCCTAATAGAGACTTGATATCTAGGCTAGGGTAGCCTCAAACTAACTATGTAGTCAAAGCTGACTCAAATTTCTGGTCTTTCCAATCCCAGTCTTCCAAATGCTTAGATTATGGGCATGGTCACCAGGCCAGCTTTTTTTAAATTTTTTAATTGTGTTGGCTTTCTATGCTGAATTGTTGAATTTGAATAGTTTCAAGAATTAACTTCTTTGTAAGTTAACTTATGTTCTTGGAGAAGTATGGTGACTGTGGGAGCTTTATTATAGGAGAAAAATTTGCAGTTAGTATAATCTTCACATGGACAACAGTTGGGAGCAACCAAGCTCAACACTGGATACTGTACAATCACTGAAATTGCTTTATTTAGTAAAATTTACAGGTAGGAATTTTAAGATTCTAAAGTCTGGGAGGGGGAACAGACTGTAAATATCAAAGATCAAAAAAGCAGACATCACTAAGATCATTGACATCTGTGCATCACCCCCCAAAATTAATTTAATGCCATCCATTCTTTAAGATTTTCCAAAGAAATAATTGAAAATTTTTATGTTTGGTTATAGAAATAGTAAGACATGAAACTAGGCAGTTTATATTTCGAAAAACAGGAAATGTAAACCCATGGAAACAGATTCTTTTGTATCCAGAAACGTTTTGTGAATATGAATCAGATCATCAGAGCACTACAGTTCAAACCAAGGCACTTGGTTTAATCATAGTTGCTAAAATATATCAAACATCAATGTCCTGAGCTAGTGAGTATTAAATATTTTAACATGAATAAGTCATTTTGTAAGTAAATTGGCCAACTGGAGCTGTCCCAAACCAAGCCTTTACTGGATGAGTAAAATGTTCCCTGGTAAAATTGAAGTTTTAACCATTCCATCTTTGTGGGCCAAAGATTTGCTTTTACCATTCCATCTTTGTGGGCCAACTGAATTTTATTACTCACTTTACCACATGCAAACTTTTAGGGAGTTCTCTATATAATTGGACTGGACTATATTTTATGTTAATAACAAAGGAAACATTTCTCATACTTATTAGACTATTGTATATGTAAGTAAAATACATAAACCAAGATATAAGGCCAGCGTTTCAAATTTAATGCTTCTATTATTAAAGAACTTCTGAAAACAATCACGGTTTGCTAATTAAAATAATTATGATCACCGAGAACCTCTCAGATTGCTTTCCCTCTATATAACATGATCACATATTTTAAATTCAAAAATGAAATAGAGTAATATTTGCTGAAGGTAACAAATAAATATAAGTTGTTTACCTCGCTCTTCCTCAGATTGTATTTTATATACTATGTCTTTCAATATTAGAAATCAGAATATTTCTGTTCTTAAATAATTGTTATATCACTTTTACTAGCTTGGTTAGGTAGGACAAGTTACTTAACTATTTTCAGCCTTAATTTTCTCCTCTGTAAAATAGAAGTTAATATTGTTATGGTTCTTAACTGAGACAATATGTACTCCAAAAATATGTAAGGAATATTCCATATTAATAATGATAATGATGTTCATGATACTATTAGAGGAAATGAAGTGGTGGTTTAAGCGACTAGAGTTGACCTATATGGTTGCTTTGCATAATGAGAGATTCTAACTAAGTACCCAGATGATCTCTATGGCAAATTGTATTATTTAGCCTTTCCCAGGCTAAATAACTAAACCTAAGGACAAAACTATTTGAAACAATTATTTTTAAAGACATTTATATAGGAGCACGGGACAGTGATCTGTAAGAAGTCAAGTAAAATGAACTTAAGATATGTAACTGTTTAAAGGAAGTTTCTCAGACACTGTATAGGAGCTTGCCAAGCTCCGTGAGTAGACAGACAGGCAGACAGATTGTAGGGTATTATTTATTATAAGTCAGATTTATGAGACAGGTTACAAGAGAAAAGAGGTAATGCTGAAGAAGTTTCAAACTAGTCCACTGTGTAATTAGTTGAGTACTGATAAAAAAATGCATGTAAGGAAGCTACTTAAGGCCCAGAATAAAATAGAGGATAGCCTGCAAAAAAATTGAATTGTTCACAATGTACCATGAGTAATTTGCATTCCATGATAGCCAGAATGTAAAGCTCTCTTGACATGAGGATATCAAGTGGAGTACCCAATGGGTATCTCCTTATATTAGGGCCAAAGTATTCATAGATTAAAGGCTGTTCTTAACCTACCTAACAAATATGAAAATTATGCCTAGAAAGCATAAAACAGTTCTGTTTTAGAACATAGTCCACAGATATTCAAAGAAAGAGGTAAACTCTATTATCCAACAATGTAAAAACAATGTAAAAAAAACTCACGGTATAGAGATTCCATTCAATAACTATCAGACTTACAAAAAGAAATGAAACTACAAATAGTAGAGAGAAAACCAATCAATTTCAAATAGACTCAAATGACACAAATGATAGGATTTAATAGATAAGATAAAAAAGCAACTCTTGTAGAAAACTGCTAGCTAGATCCTAGTAAGGAAATAGGAAAACTTATTCCCTATAAAGCATAGAGTTGTACAAAATTGACAGAAACAACCATTGCAACACGGAGGAATGTATAATCAGAGAAAATACTTATGCTTCTTATAAGAAAGTATTGTAGGAGTCCGTAACATTTTTGATAGGGCTATTTTTATTTCTTTTTTTATAGTTTATGCTCTTACTATTTTTATTTTTAATAAGGTTTTTAATTGTGAAAATACTGTACAGAGGGGTTACAATTACATGAACAAGGAAATCAGTACTATTTTTTTATCAAGCATTGTTGCCTCCTCCTTTGTTTTTTCTCCTACCATCCCTGCCCTCCCATCTCCATGATTATATGCCCCCCCCCAAGTTGTAAAGATCCTTTTTCGACAGAGCATCTTATATGTCTCATTGTTGCAATGGGTCCACCTGTATCCCTATTTAAACGATTTGTTTTTTCCCTTCCCTTCCACAAATTATATCAACATCAAATACAGTGAAAACAGGGGTTATACTGTGGGGGAGGGATATACAAAGCAATAAAACAATCACTTTATAAATATGTTAGAAACAATAGCAAGAAAGAAAAAAACCACTTGTGTCCTTATCTTGGGGCTCATTTCACCTAACATCATCTTATCTAACCTTTTCTGCTTGTCTCAGACAAGTTATTGCAAATAAGGGAAATCATGGGACCTATGTTTCTTTGGGCCTGGCTTACTTCACTTAATATAATTTTTTTTTAATTTCTTCTATCCACCTTGCTGGTGGAAGTAGTAACTATTGAACTATACAAATAAATATTAAACTAAAAAATAAACATTAGGGGCTGGGAAGGTGGCTCAGTGGTAGAGTACTTGCCTTGCATGCATGAGGCCCTGGGTTCGATTCCTCAGCACCACGTAAGGAAAAAAGAAAAATCCGGAAGTGGCACTGTGGCTCAGGTGGTAGAGTGCTTGCCTTGAGCTGAAGAGCTGAGGGACAGCGCCCAGGCCCAGAGTTCAGGCCCCACGACCGGACCCCCCCCATGCCAAAAATAAATAAACATTAAACTAAAAAAAAGATTCAACAAGTGCTATAGTGATAGAGGAAAACATCAGCCTGATAAGTCATAAAAACCTAAATTAATGTCCCAGAAATGATTTTAAAAAAATACAAGGTTATCCTAATGCTGTCCTCCCTCATAAAGCTCATGGCATGGCTCTGTGAGCTAATATATATGACTATGCCTAATACAGTGCGTGGAATGTGATCTATATAATGTCTGTGCATGGTTTTTATTTTTTTCTCTTTCCAATTTTTCTTTTCCAATAGTATTTTATGGTATCTCATTTTGTTTCCCCTTAATCTGTAGTATTTGTACTAGATGAGCCCTTAGAGATAATTTAGTATGAGGCTTTCATTTTATAAATGAAGAAACAAAGTCCCAGAGTGAGGCCACATGTTTACCAAAGGGAAGAAGGTTCTGTTACTAAACTGTATTGTATATTTTAAGTAATGACATTAAAAGTGAGTACTTGGTGCCTTCCCAGAAGTGAAACAGGAGTTAACATTCGCTGATGATTTTGATTCAGAACACAGTAACACACATCTTCCAACCAAACATTTAAATAAATAAGTTCAAACTGCAACCAATTTTCCAAAATGATAGAAGTATTGTTCCAGACATTTTATGGTAGAATAAATGTGACAAAATGAAGGCAAGGAATTTGGGTTTTCAAGTTCCTGGCTATACTAGAGTTACAAGCCAGAAATTTGAACACTGTTCTCAGTGTGGAGGGCGATGTGTCTTAAAATAGACATTCTGTAAATATATATAGCAAAGAATATAACAAGACATCACTTTAAACATGAAAAATAAATTGCATATATCATAGTATATAAAACATAATTATAATGTGTCTTTACTCTTTGCAAAAATTAATTTTAAACATGAATACAGACCAGAATATAGACCACAAAGAGCACCCACACCCAGAAAGCCACATAGAAGCTATGGTGTGGCATGTGGCTCTGTGGGCAGGGGCCCAGGAGATCAGAAAGCTTTTTATGTTTCCATTTTTAAAGTACTTGCAATTGTTTGATTTAAAATATATATTAAAAAATTAGCTGCAAACACTATTTATAGTTACAGGAACTTTTCAGAGAAAATAACATAAAAGCACTACAGAGCTACTGAAATTTTAAATAATTCTTTGTAAATGCCCTAGGTTAATTTAGATCCCTGAAAACACATTAGGAAATTAAGCTGTAATGTGAGCTAATTCAGATTTTAATTTGGCAAAAAGAATGATCCAACTACACAGTTAATGTAAATAGAAGCATAACACAGGGAAATTAATGAGGTTTCCTTCTGATGAATCTTCAAGGAGGTAGATAATTAGCTTCTTTTGTTATTACTGTAGGAGAATGTGGCATTGTCTCTGAGGTGTAAAATAACTGTGGCTTACTAAGTGATAATGTGCTTCGGTTGTCTTTTTTAAAATAATTATTTATGTTAAATTCTTGTAGGATGAGGCAGCAGCACAGCCTCTGAATCTCTCATCCCGACCTAAGACAGCAGAGCCTGTGAAATCCCCAACATCTCCCACCCAGAACCTCTTCCCAGCCAGCAAAACCAGCCCTGTCAATCTGCCAAACAAAAGCAGCATCCCCAGCCCCATTGGAGGAAGCCTGGGAAGAGGATCCTCTTTAGGTAAATGGAAAAGTCAACACCAAGAAGAGACTTATGAATTAGGTAAAAGAAAGCAAACCTATTTAGTGATGACTGATTCTTGTTTCCAACTTGTTGCTTAGTAAAAGATGACAGTACTTTGGTCTTTTCTAATGAAATGTTGCCCAGTGTAGTGTCTTAGGTGATCAGAACTTTTGGAAAAGGTCATAACATAAATCTTGCCAGATGAACTCTTTAGATGATGATGAGTCGATCGAGCAAATCAGAAATCTAGTACTTGCTGTATTTCCTTGGAGCTTTGTTTCTTAAGTAAATCTCCAAAGACATTAGGACCTGGCCTCAGAGCCGCCTGCTCAAAGTAAAAGAAAATTTCTGGGAGGTTTGTATTTTCCCTTCAAAAATATATGTGAATTTTAACCTTACACTACTCATATTAGTTTTGTATTAAGACAAATACAGATGATATGTTTCAATAACATAGGAAATAACACTAATATCCAGGAAGCTATGTCTTAAGGATCCTCTTCCTTCTTTAGCCTGAGATAGATGTTGCAAGTTCTCTAGGGATATTCACACCCTTGCTTGAAAACTATGGAGGAAAACTTGGATTTTATAATAAGACATGCTAAACTAAAGCCTTTACTGACTACCTGGATGGTCATGAGAAAGTTATTTAATATTCTAACCTCGTTTTCCTAAGCTTTAAAAGGAGAATCATAGTGCCTATTAGGCAATAATATTGTTCATAGTTTGTTATGAAGATTAAGGGAGAAAAATACATGTATAGTTGCCAAATACGGTATTTAGCCCTGTAAGGTAATCAAATCAATTACTTTTTAAAAAGCAAAAATAAATGTGTACCAACATGTTTACCTGTTGATGTAAGATGAAGGAAGAAACATGAAAAGTACTTTTCAACAAGAAAGTGTCAAGTCTCTCAACATTAATGTTATTATACTTTTTATATATCTTGTGGATGTGTGTGTGTGTTTGTGCGTGCGCGCACACACACACGTGCATACATGCATTGGTCCTGGGGCTTGAACTCATGACCAAGGTACTATCCCTGAGCTTTTTTGCTTAAGGAGATAGCACTCTACCAGTTGAGCCACAGCTCTACTTCTGGCATTTTGGTGAGATTCCAAGGAGTTACGGATTATATCTAGTTTATTATTATCTACCTTGTGTCAAGCCAGCTAAGATTATTTTATTTAATAGATTTAAAAATGTGTGAGTATAGCCATTTATAGTTTTTACAGCATTCTCGAGTATTTTATTTGATTTGATTTTTCACAATAATTTTATGAATCAGATAGCATGTTATTACTACCCTTGTTGTCCAGTAAGCTGTAGTACTTTCAGGTAGAATGGCTTACATACAGTCCTGTAGCTATTAGTAGAGCCAGGGCTGAAACCCAGGTCCACTTATACATAACTCAGTCTCCTTTTATAATCTCAGAGTTTTGATATTTGCCGAGCTGCACTGAGTCTGAGAGACCCTCTGACAATCTTCCTTGTTGAAATCCAGGGCATTGGAATCTACACAGGAGCCTATTCATGTTTTAAGTCAGGATGCCTGTTGCAGAGACCCACAGGTTTTCCCCGCAAGTCAGTGGTATCCATGTGGAAGAAAGAAGTGATTCATGCCCATCAATGGATATGAAGAATATCTTTTGGCTGGGATTTTGGAAGTTGCCAGATGAGAGAGAAAAAGCTAACCTAATGATAAATAATAGACCTGCTTTAGAAAGTGGCCCTTTTAGAATGCACTTCTGTGTTTTATTTGGAAAGCATTTGTTCACTGTACTGAGCATTGAGAGGGACAAAAATGACTATGTCACAGGTCCTGCTGTTTGGGACTGATACTTCAGCCCAGTGTATTTCAGGTCATGAGCCAGATGGGCTAAAGTAATAGCACCTTAGGGTGCACAGCACTCTTGTGCTGAGAATATTGCACAGAAATGGTCTTTTGCTGAGAAAAGCTTGAGAAAAAAAAATGATGTGGTTTTTCTAGATCCTACAAAGGAACTGAGTGCTTAAAAAGTATTTTCAGAGACGACCTATCCAAAGACATTATTGCACACATATGGCACACATAAGGCATGTGATATAAGCCCGATTGTAGTCTGATTACCTTTCTTCCCTCTGTCTATATGAGATAAAAATGTGTACTATGCAATGTTCATGCAAAGCCTTTTAAAAGTGGATCATGCTACAGCAACTGAAATCTATTAGTTATCAAACAATTGCCTTTTTTGTTGTCTAAAACTAGAAACCCTTATTCAAAGTGTCCTTTTTATCCAAGGTAAAAATGCCAGTTATGCAAGATGATTTGTTTCAGTTTGAGTTTCCTCTTCTGTGACTGGATCATAATGAAAGCAAATATTTATTTTTGCAAATATTTACTTTTACCTGAGGACTCATCCTCAGGTGAAAACCACTCCCCCACTCAGAGCCTCCCTGTCATGAAGACAGGGGGGCCGAGAGCAGTGGGTGTTCAAGTTGGGGGCAGGGAATAAGTTGTCCTTCTCTTGGTAAATAAATGAGGCAACATGATGAGAAAAATGCTTCATTAACCAGCCAGCAATGGGGAATGGAGAGCATGGTGTATTCCTCCCACTCACCCTCTCCTGCAGTAGACACATGGACAAACACACACAGATGTCACTAAAACGCATGCAGAATTTCACAGGGTCTTTTCTGCTAAGCTTGAAATTGCTTTTCTATACGAACATACCAAATAGAACAAGGAACCTGGGCAGATATCTCGCCTCCTTTCCACAGCTCTCCCATTGTCTTCAACTTTATTGCTCCTACAAAGAGGAGGAAAGCTTGTTCATACACTGTAGATGGCACCAAAACAGACTTTTTCTCCCAAACTGACACACATTTGGTATCTAGGACCTTATCTACAAGAAGGGATAGAAGAATCCATATACTCTGGAGTGCTGGAGTATCCTCCCAGGCTAAAAGCACCAGCAAAGTTTGCTACCCCCAACTTTCTGTGCTCTATGCATGGTATTGTACACATTTATTAATAAATCACAAATGTGGCCCCTACTTCCTTATTGAGAGAATGTGATATTCTGTAAGGGAGAGTAGATCTTAGCAGTACTTTATAGTCTAACCTCACAAGCTCTAATAATGGATCCTGTGTATGCAGATATCCTGTCCAGTCTCAATTCTCCTGCCCTCTTTGGGGATCAGGATACAGTGATGAAAGCCATCCAGGAAGCCCGGAAGATGCGAGAGCAGATCCAGCGGGAGCAACAGCAGCAACAGCCACATGGTGTTGATGGAAAACTCTCCTCCATGAATAATGTGGGACTGAACAACTGCAGGAATGAAAAGGTAAAACTTTCTTTGCTCTGCTAGACCCATAGATTCCTTTTCCCTCACTCTTGTCAGGCTCCCACATGTCACCCAGCAACCAAGGGTCTGGGCTTCTCCCTTGAGGGCTGCCCTGTATTTAACTCAGACCTGTCATATGTCTCATTTAAGCACTACTTTCCCCTTCACTGAGATGGCCTCTCAGGCATCCCCCCTACCTGCCTATGGGTGTATATTTCTTTCACATTCAAAAATACTGAAAGGTGTCTTATAATAAAGAGTACATATAATTTCATTAGAATGAGATTAGAATACCCAAGCATTAAAAAAGAAGAAGCGTATATGTTCACAACGAAGGCTGATGTGATACCATAATTTATACCATTGATTTAATACTAAGTCTCCTGTCAACCTGGGCAAAATATAACACACAGCAGTTTGTAAAATGCATTCCTTTTTGTTTCTGCTTTTGCAAATTATCTAGCATCTATTATCTATCTAATATGTATCTATCTAGTAATAGACTATAGTCAGGCAGTGATGATACAGCAGTGAACCAGTGGCTTGTGCCTGTAATTCTCACTACTCAGGAGGCAGAGACCTGGAGTTTTGCAGTATGAGGTTAGCTGGGGTTGGAGATATGACACAAGTGGGGAGAGTGTCAGCTGTGAACAAGCAAGCTGAGTAAGAGTGCGAGACCCTGAGTTCACGCTCTGATTTCAGAATTAAAACAAAGCTTCCTGTCCTCAAGGGTCTCATATCTATAATATACTTAGAATCAAAAAATTAAATTCCCCAACAACAAATACTCAAAGAAACAACTGCCCAATAAATGAGTGGGCTAAACACTTAAAGAGAAACTTCTCTGAAGAGGAAAGAAGGATGGCCAATAGACACATGAAGAAATGCTCAACCTCCCTAGCCATAAAAGAATCAAAATAACATTGAGATACCACCTCACCCCAGTTAGAATGGCTATAACTAAGAACTCTAATAACAACAGATGCTGGAGGGGATGTGGACAGAAAGGAACCTTACTGCATTGTTGGTGGGAGTGTAAATTTGTTCAACCACTTTGGAAAGTAGTATGGAGGTTCCTCAAAAGACTCCACATAGAGCTCGCCTATGACCCAGCAATCCCACTTTTGGGCATTACCCTAACAATCACAAACAAGGCCGTACTAAAGCGACCAGCACAACAATGTTTATTGCAGCATTGTTTACCATAGCTAAGATATAGAAGCAACTCAGATGCCCCTTAGTAGATGAATGGATCAAGAAAATGTGATGTGATGTGTGTGTGTGTGTGTGTGTGTGTGTGTGTGTATATAATGGAATTCTATGCCGCCATCAGAAAGAATGACATTGCCCCGTTTGTTAGGAAATGGAAAGACTTGGAAAAAAATATATTAAGTGAAGTAAGCTAGGCCCAAAGAAACATAGGTCCCATGGTTTCCCTTATTTGCAATAATTAGTATATGTCTAGGATAAGCAGAAAAGGTAAAAAGCTATGTACATAGGACTATATAAGATGATACTAAGTAGGGCTGAGAAGGTGGCTCAGTGGTAGACTGCTTGCCTTGCATACATGAGGCCCTGGGTTCGATTCCTCAGCACCACATAAACAGAAGTGGAGCTGTGGATCAAGTGGTAGAGCATTAGCCTTGAGCTGAAGAGCTGAAGGACAATGCCCAGGCCCAGAGTTCAGGCCCCACAACCAAAAAAATAAAAAAAGATGATGCTAAGTGAAATGTACCCCAAGATAGGGACACAAGAGGTTTTTTTCCTTTCCTGCTCTTGTTTTTAATGTATTTGTAATGTACTATGCGATTTTTTTTTGTTTCTTTTGTTTGTTCTTCCCTCATGGTATAACCCCTGTTGTCACTGTATTTGATTATGGTGCCCTGCATCTTGTTTATACATTTTTCTTTTCTTTCTTTTTTGTATTTTTGCCAGTTTTGGGGCCTAAACTCTGGGCCTGGGCACTGTCCCTCAGCTCTTCAGTTCAAGATTAGCACTCTACCATTTGAGCCACAGTGCTACTTCTGGCTTTTTCTGCTTATATGGTGCTGAGGAATCAAACCCAGGGCCTCATGCATGCAAGGCAAGCGTTCTACCACTAAGCCACATTCCCAGCCCCTATACATTTTTCTAATTTGGGGAGGGGAAGGAAAATAAGGATACAGGTTGACCTATTGTAACAATGAGATGTAAAAGACACTATGTTGAAAATGAACTTTACAACTTCTAGTCAGGGATTGGTAGAGTTGGGGAGGTAGGGAGAGAAGGGATGGTAGGGGAAAACCAAAAGAGGAGGTAACAATGCTCGATAAGAAATGTACTTGTTTACCTTACTCATGTAACTGTAACCACTCGGTACAATATAAAAATACACTAATTTAAAACAAAAGAAAGAAAACAATAAAAAATCCTTGTCCTCATAGAACTTACATTTTAACAGAGGGACACTGATGATAGAGAAATAAAGCAAATAAAGTAATATGGAGGTGGATAACTTTCCATGAAAAATCAAGCAAGTAGGGACATGGCAGCTGTAGGGTGGCTGAGATGTAATGGAAAGGGGTCTCTTGGAAAGTGACATTGAGAGTTCTAGCACTGAGCTAGTGAGGAGCATTCTAGGCAGCAGAGCAATCAGCTGAGAGGCCAGAGTGCTGCAGGAGAAGGGGTAGCAGGAGCCCATGAAGGCATAGGCCGGGAGAGAGCATCCTAGAGAACAGTGGGATATGATTTTGTGTGCCCTTTATTCTGCTTATAACAGGAATCCCCGGGTCAGTTCTGTCCAGGCTGTAAATCTATCTCATTTACGTATAAGAAGATCATTAGGGTTCCTGTGGAAGAATGGCCCAGCTCAGGGACGCTTGTAGGAGACAGCATGAAAAATTCTGATTGCCTGGTAGAATGAATTTTTTTTTTAAAGATGGTGGGCTGGGAAGGTGGCTCAGTGGTAGCGTGCTTGCCTCACATGCATGAGGGCCCTGGGTTCGATTCCTCAGCACCACATAAACAGAAGAAGCCGGAAGTGGGCACTGTGGCTCAAGTGCTAGAGCGCTAGCCTTGAGCTGAAGAGCTGAGGGACAGCGTCCAGGCCCAGAGTGCAAGCCCCATGACTGCCAAAAAAAGAAAGAAAAAATAGTACCTTTCCAGTGCTGAACCATGAGAGGTTTTTATTTAGAGAGGAGCAAGGGATTATGATATAGGGACAAAATGTATAACATGATGGGTAATGGTAACAGTGTTAGAGTAAATTTTTCTAAATGTTTCCATTTATATGTTTATTCAGTAAAGACTATGAAAGTGAGGGTCACGAGACCTCTTTTTCATTCCACTTTTTGTTCATTCTGGCATGGCTGCTGTGGCAGAGTCTTCATTCATCAGAAGAGATCTTGTATCTTCCCCAGTTCCTAGAAGCTGCGAGTGTGGGATACTGTCTTTTGGTTTTTCTGTGTTTCCTTCTCAACAGGGTAGGTGATGTGACAGTCTGGAGACTCTGGAAATGTGGTTGTATTCATTTCCTAGGGATGTTTTTTTTTTCTTTCTGTTACACTTTGAGTAGCTTAAAGCAACAGAAATTTTCACACACTCAGTTCTAGAGGCCAATCACCAGCCAAGGTGTCTGCAATAAAGGAGAATCCTCTCCTGAGGATGGTTGTAACAGATTCTTGCTGTTGCTTGGCCTGCAGCTGTTTCTCCGTAGTTTCTGCCTCTCTTTCATGGTTGTCTTCCCTCTGTGTGTGTCTGTGTTCAGCATCTATCCAAATCCACATGACCATATATTAACTCTCAGCTACAAATATATATATATATACATACATATATATATATATATATTTCAAATAGGATGACATCTACAGGAACTTCAGATGAAGATGAGTATATTTGTTTGGAGGGTACAGTTCAACCCATTACAGTAGAACACAGAGAGCTGCTCATTCTGAACCTAATTCTTGCCCTTACCTACCTATTATTGGTCTACACTCAGAGACAGCTGTGAAGAGAGCTTGGAAAGGATTTTGTAGGATGGGAAAATGATGGGATTCTTAAAGCATGTAGTGATCAAAGCCCTCACACAGATTAGGAAGCTTAGCTCTGAAAGAATGTTGACTTCCCAAGGCTTAGTAAAGAATTTGATTTTACTCTGTTCTCACTATACTAAGTTGCTACACTGAATGTGTATGGTGCATGTACATATGTATATGCGCATATATATGTGCACATATGTTGCATTTTTATTTATATATTTTATTTTTTATTAAAAGCATAAAAGAGAGCTCATTGTGATAATTCCATAGATATATATGATGTACTTTGAACAAGTTTGCCCTGCTCCTATATTTCGCTGTCTCTCTTTTTCATCTCCCTTTTTGAAACAGTGTGTGTGTGTGTGTGTGTGTGTGTGTGTGTGTGTGTCTGTGTGTGTGTGAGACATTCTTCCAGCCTCTTTATAATACTCTATGCTTTTAGTACTTTTGTGTGTATAGTCAACATTTTCCTTATCCTTTCATTGGTGTTGAGGATTTAGGCTAATTCATCAGCTTGGTTTTTTCCCCATCTTTCCTTAGATTTGAAGGGGCACACACTTCCTTAGAAACCTTGTGTAGCTCCATGTTACATTCCTTATATGATGGGAAAACACACGTATCATGGTGTGGTGAGTCCTCTGGTATGTGCTAAATTGTATACACTTTTGTATACTTGAGATTAATCATATGCTCTAATGGAGGCTCTACCCTCATGGTTTATCTGATCTTAATTATCTCTAAAAGACCCACATCCAATTACTATCACATTGGGTGAGGACTTCAACATTTTGATTTTGAGAGGACAACTAAAGTCATTCCATAGTCCCATGTTGTTGAGTTTGTACCACCAACTGGAAGTGAAGTTCAAATGTAGACTCTGTAAAATTCACAATTATCTTTGACTTCTACAGATTATATATTTCTCATTAACTCTTAAATTTGTTTGGAGTCAGGTAGCAGTGCCTTGTAGCTATAGCCCTA